GAAAACAATCGACTCATAAGAGAGTTATTGTTTGCGAAGAAATTGATTAAATGTTTGGAAAATATAATGCATTTCGCGGTAAACATGAAGACCACGTGTGGTTGCGATCACATCCGGACACTCATCCACACCAATGACCACCACTTCAACGACTATCAACGGCTCAAACGCGAGGTCAGCGGCCGTTCCCGCGGCGGTAGTGGTGTTAATACCGAAGAGATGGCCACCGATGGCACTGACCATACTATGGATCAAACTTGTGGTAAACCTATTGTCTCACAATTGGTTATTATCTTAAAATAATGTATTTATTATCTTAATTACGGTCACCGAAGGCACGAGTAGTGGTGACAAACCGGCCGTTGAATTGTCTCTAATTGAGTCCATGAAGACTAAGATGAGTGCATTGACAGGTGCGGCAGCTGTGGTCAGCCCTACGGTCACCGATTGTAAGCCGTGTGACATAACCGGTGCTCTTCTTCCGGCGCCCATCACTTGCAACGAGTGTCAGACAGTGTTCGCCAATTGTTTGGATTTTGTGAATCACACCTCTTTGGCCTCGAAGTTAACCAAAAAGTCCGGTAAATAGCCCTTTGATTGATCACCGCTTATGTCTTGTATTGACTATTGTCTGGTTTTAGGGACCAAATCATCGCCATCTCGTCCATCAAAGCGGACAAAGAAATGTAATTTTAAATAATTGTCTAATACTTTCTCTCAATAATTCCTAAATAAACTCTTTTATCATTTAGCCATCGGTTCCAGAAAAGTGATCAAAACAGAGCCAACGAAGCCGTTTGAAATGATTAACAGCGACAGCGAAGAGATACCGATATACCCGGTGATGAACGGCTACCGGTGCGGCTACAAGGGCTGCACATACACCGCGACGTATCGGCGGTTCATTGAGATGCACTTCACTGTCCACTCGACGGCCACACCCTTCTGGTGCGGTGTCAACGGTTGCGAAATGTCTTTCAGGTCGGAACAGGCGCTCACTGGGCATCAGTCGACCGCTCATCCGAATCCATCCAATCGACGGTGGATTGTCTGCCACCGGACGGGCTGTCGATTCCGGACCAAATCGCGCGCCAATTGGGTCGAGCATAACATCACACACCGGTCATCGGATCCACAGCCAGAGCGCTACACATGCGACGTGTGTAATAAGAGCTACACCCGGTTGACAGTGCTGTCAGAGCACATGAAACTGTCACATAACAGCTCCGCCACTGCCACCGCTCCCACTTCCACCTCAGCCATCACTACAACTATAGAATCCGTGGCTATCGGTACGACTGCCGCCGCCGATAGTGGCGGCGATCCCTATCTCTGCGAACACTGTCCGCGAACCTACCGATCGCTGGCCACGTTGAACACACACGTGCGCCGCGAACACCGGTACCCATACGTGTGCGACAGCGAGGGCTGTATATCGCGGTTCGAGTCCGACCACCTGCTGGACGAGCACAGGGCTCGAGTGCACGGCTCGGGCTATACGGGCGGCGACAACGACGACGAGACAAACGGAGAACCAGTGGAAGAAATTAATGATAATAATAACCCCATTGATGACGAACTCGCCGACGAGTCTCACGCGGTATTGGCTGTCAAAGCGGTCGGAGATCCGTTAGAGATACCGATCTTCACGCTGGCCACCGGTTTCGTGTGCGGTTACCCGGGCTGTGCCTATTCGGCCCGACAACGGGGCGCCGTCACCGCCCACTTCGCCGTCCACCAGACAGAGCGGCCGTTCCGGTGCCGACTCGCCGGCTGTGCGATGCGATTCAAGACCGAATCGGTTCTGTCCGGCCATCAGATTGTCGTACATCCGGATTGTTTCCCGAACCGAAAGTGGTTGCACTGTCTGAAGCCGGGCTGCAAATACCGGACCAAATTGAACAGCAATTACAACAAACACGTCAACAGTCACACCACGCGTTACCGGTGCGACCTCTGCGACAAGTCGTACGCCGAGCGCAAGTATCTCGTGAAACACCGCCGGGCGGCGCACACCTCTACCATACGCTACGGGTGCGACCTGTGCGACAAGTCCTACGCTCTGCAGTCGGCCCTCAGAGTGCACGTCCGCCGCACCCATCACAAGGCCTACCCGTGCGAGTACGCCGACTGCGGCCGCGCGTTCGGCGTGAGGGCCGACCTCCAGAAGCACGTCCGGCGAGTGCACGACGAGTTGTACGTACGGCCGATCGCCTGCACTTGGATCGGGTGTCCGCTGCGGTTCGAGTCCACACTCCGTATGACTGAACACCTGCGCCGACACACCGGCGATAAGCCCCTGGAGTGTCCCGAGTGTGACAAGAGGTTCGCCACGGCTGGCGATCGCGCGGCACATGTGGTCAATCAACATAAGGACCGGCGCTACGCCTGCGAGTGGCCGGGCTGTCAGTTTAGGGCCGCATTCATGAGCCAAATGCGGTCGCATATTAAGCGCCATCAGAGCAAAGTTGCCGCCGAATAATGATTAATGTAATTCTCTGTTTGTATTATAATTATGCTTTAATTAACATTATTATAACTATTTTCGTTCATTATTTTTTTTTGCATAAATAGTCTTATTTTTAATTATCTAATTAATTAAATGATTAATTTGTAAATAAAACTGTTTATAAAGTTTTTATTGTGGACGTAATTGATGTGCAATTGTATTGTTTTGATGTTTATTTCAAAACAAAAGTCGACTTTAATTATGAAGATTTAAATCATAATTAAAAACAATAGTTAATAAACGGATCACTAAAACAGGTGTTTGTATAACTAGTTATCAATACATACAGTGAGACCCCGATTACAGGGGAACTCCTCTTAGAGACAATGTCTGTGGAAATAATAGCCGAAAACAATCGACTCATAAGAGAGTTATTGTTTGCGAAGAAATTGATTAAATGTTTGGAAAATATAATGCATTTCGCGGTAAACATGAAGACCACGTGTGGTTGCGATCACATCCGGACACTCGTCCACACCAATGACCACCACTTCCAGGACTATCAACGGCTCAAACACGAGTGNAATGCATTTCGCGGTAAACATGAAGACCACGTGTGGTTGCGATCACATCCGGACACTCGTCCACACCAATGACCACCACTTCCAGGACTATCAACGGCTCAAACACGAGTGTACGGCCGCCGCCGCCGCCACTCCCATCCCCTCCGACAGCGGCCGACGTATTGGCCATACAGTGGAGGACAGGCGCCGCCCGAAGACTACTCAAGTGGCAAATGTTTGCCACGAGTGTACCGGTGATGACCGCGACATCGATGGTAAGCCCAATGATATGTCTGTCAATTGATTTTTAACACTTATTTATTTGTTGCCATCCATTTGTGTTAGATTTGACGGCCGCTGACCATCCGCTCGACGGACACCAAATTACCGGCATTTGCGTCGGACGGACGGCCGTGAAGTGTGTGACCAAATCAGGTGATTATTATTACTGATATATATAGCAATCATTTGTAATAATTACTAAACGACACACAAATGTCAGACTTCTATAGATATCAACAGTTTCTGAAGCCATTGACGAAATCCGTGGCCACAAACACCGTTAACCAGACACCGGTGACTGTGGCCGCGGCCGGCGGTAAGTGTGTCCACTCACTGGTCCACTCGATCTATACTAATAGCTTCTCTGTGACATTCATTAGTGGCGGGCATTCAATGCAATTGTTGCGGACACCAGACGCTGACCGCCGAAGAGATGTACGCCCATCAGCGGCACATCCATCGCGCGCAGCGTATCGACGACTGTCTGGTCAACTACGAGTGCAGTGACCGCCAGTGCGGGTTCAAGTGTCCCGACCAGAGCTCGTGGTTTGACCATAAGCTACAGCACGAGCGGTGCGATCGCACTGTTGTGTTCAATAAGCGCCAAAAGAGTTCAACCGCCAGACCTCTGTCCGACCCGATAGTAATGGACAGACACTCGCAACCAATGGCGCCGCAGACCAACGAACTCTCATTGGCCATCTCCTCCATCAGTAGCGCCAGCGATGGCACAGTTGTCGTGAATGCCGTTCCCATCAGGAGTAACGGTGCGTATGGCTCAGTAGTTATTGTATTGATAATGATTTTTATCGTGATATTTTTAATGTTCAGACCAACCGCTGATGGCGTACCCGACGGCGGCCAACGCTGGAACAGCTGAAGTGTTTTACAGGACATACGAACTAAAGAACTTTAATCCATTGAAATGCACGCACTGTTCGTACGGTATTAAGCGAGACAACGACACCAATGGCCTAATGCGGGCCCATATGTGCGGACAGCACCCGAACCACAGCTCAGACTTTGGTATTTATTTTGTAAAATGATTGTGAAAATCAATGTCTGATCCGATGTCTGGTAATATCTATACAATACAGATAAGTCATTGGCGGCCAAAGAGGCCAACACTGCGTACGTGTTTGAGTGCATTGAATGCCAGCGTATACTAGAAGACCAGGTGGTGTTGGATCTGCACCACCAGACTGTCCACTCGGGGGTTACCGCTTACCGGCTGTGGTGCGACCTCTGCTCCTATACCACCGACTCGTACCAAGAGTTCATTCAACACAACAGCCGCCACAGGACTCGCGTCCAGAAGATTTGCCACAACACCACCGCTCGAGAGGTGGTCAGCGAGAGCGTGGCCACAGTTGTTGTGACCGAAGCCGATGGCGACGAAGAAGTGGATGAAGACCACGATATGACAGAATCCGTGACCGCCGAAGAGGAGGAAGGGTTAGAGGCGGCGGCAGTGGAGGAATCGATTGGCGATCAATTGGTGATCAAATGCATGGACCGGCGGTACCACTGCTCTCAGGACGACTGTCACAAGTCGTTCAAACACGAGTACCTATTGATCAAACACACCCGCAATCACCACAAACTCATCGAGTGTGACAAATGCCAGACCCGATACAAGTCCGTACAGCTGCTGAACGCCCATCTGCTGAAGTCGCACCGCGAGTATCTGATCCGCTGTCAGTCATGCGACTACCAGACATTCTGGCCGTCTTTCCACGACCGACACGTCACCCGTCATCACATGACCCAATGGTGGTCGTGTCAGCACAAGAACTGCGCTGAACGGTTCCTGAAGCAGCAGTCGCTGGAGAGGCACGTGAATAAAGCGCATAAACGCGGTTTCCGGCCGTACGAGTGTCCGGACGACGGGTGCGGCGCCGAGTACTACACTCAGGGCGAGCTCGTCAGACACAGGGGTCGGGCCCACAGGGCGCTGGTCTACGAGTGCGACCAATGCGAGTACCGGTGCTGCGACACGGGCTCACTCGCCGCCCACCGTAACGATCGTCATCTGCGGCACGTCTACCGGTGAGAACGGCCGCTCTGTCTGGTGGACGGCGAAGTGGGCGGTGACGGCGCCCCGTTGTCGGGCCGAATAGGCACAGCCCGGGTAACCGCACACGAAACCGGTGGCCAGCGTGAAGATCGGTATCTCTAACAGATCTCCGACCGCTTTGACAGCCGATACCGCGTGAGACTCGTCGGTGAGTTCGTCATCAATGGGGTTATTATTATCATTAGTTTCTTCCACTGGTTCTCCGTTTGTCTCGTTGTCGCCGCCCGTATAGCCCGAGCCGTGCACTCGAGCCCTGTGCTCGTCCAGCAGGTGGTCGGACTCGAACCGCGATATACAGCCCTCGCTATCGCACACGTATGGGTACCGGTGTTCGCGGCGCACGTGTGTGTTCAACGTGGCCAGCGATCGGTAAGTTCGGGGACAGTGTTCGCATAGATAGGGATCGCCGCCACTGTCGGCGGCGGCAGTCGTACCGATAGCCACGGATTCTATAGTTGTAGTGATGGCTGAGGTGGAAGTGGGAGCGGTGGCAGTAGCGGAGCCGGTATGTGACAGTTTCATGTGCTCTGACAGCACTGTCAACCGGGTGTAGCTCTTGTTACACACGTCGCATGTGTAGCGCTCGGGCTGTGGATCCGATGACCGGTGTGTGATGTTATGCTCGACCCAATTGGCGCGCGATTTGGTCCGGAATCGACAGCCCGTCCGGTGGCACACAATCCACCGTCGATTGGATGGATTCGGATGAGCGGTCGACTGATGCCCAGTGAGCGCCTGTTCCGACCTGAAAGACATTTCGCAACCGTTTACACCGCACCAGAAGGGAGTGGCCGTCGAGTGGACAGTGAAGTGCATCTCAATGAACCGGCGATACGTCGCGGTGTAAGTGCAGCCCTTGTAGCCGCACCGGTAGCCGTTCATCACCGGGTATATCGGTATCTCTTCGCTGTCGCTGTTAATCATTTCAAACGGCTTCGTTGGCTCTGTTTTGATCACTTTTCGGGAACCGATGGCTAAATGATAATAGAGTTTGTTTAGAGATTATTGAAAAAAAATATTAGACAATTATTTAAAATTACATTTCTTTGTCCGCTTTGATGGACGAGATGGTGATGATTTGGTCCCTAAAACCAGACAATAGTCAATACAAGACATAAGCGGTAATCAATCAAAGGTCTATTTACCGGATTTTTTGGTTAACTTCGGGGCCAAAGAAGTGTGATTCACAAAATCGAGACAATTGGCAAACACTGTCTGACATTCGTTGCAAGTGATGGGCGCCGGAAGAAGAGCACCGGTTATGTCACACGGCTTACGATCGGTGACCTTAGGGCTGACCACAGCTGCCGCACCTGTCAATGCACTCATCTTAGTCTTCATGGCCTCAATTAGAGACAATTCAACGGCCGGTTTGTCACCACTACTCGTGCCTTCGGTTCCCATAATTAAGAGAATAAATACTTTATTTTAAGACAATAACCAATTGTGAGACAATAGGTTTACCACAAGTTTGATCCATAGTATCGTCAGTGCCATCGGTGGCCATCTCTTCGGGATTAACACAATGACCGCGGGAACGGCCGCTGACCTCGCGTTTGAGCCGTTGATAGTCGTTGAAGTGGTGGTCATTGGTGTGGATGAGTGTCCGGATGTGATCGCAACCACACGTGGTCTTCATGTTTACCGCGAAATGCATTATATTTTCCAAACATTTAATCAATTTCTTCGCAAACAATAACTCTCTTATGAGTCGATTGTTTTC